AGTCGACGAGAATGTTATTTTCATCAGTAGATCTATGATGAAGTTGAACAAAAATGGGGAAAGTGGACAGCCTTGACGGACACCACTTGAGGTTGCGTCCGACAATTATCGAGGCTAGTATTTTAGACACTATATTAGTTAAACTAATCCTTCTATGATTGTCTCATGATGATTTCGACCCTCTGTGATATATTGGGACGATCAGTGATTGTGACCAGTCAGATGGAAATACTTCCAACTCCCAGATTTTGGCTAAAATATTAGTCAACCTAATCGCCAAAATTGGACCACCATCCTTAAAGACCTCTGGCGCCAATCCATCTGGGCCAGCCACCCTTCCTGTTTTCAGACTAACTATAGCCTTTTGAACTTCAGCTAGAGTTGGGGGACCTACTTCAATGTTTCATTCACGGTGTCTTGGAATTGTGGGTAGTTGTAGAGTAGCTGGAGGCCAGCTGAACTGTTCTCTGAAATGTTCCGCCCATCGTTCTAAACGCCTGGACTGGGAGCAGATGTGTATATCGTCTTTTTCCGATATAATCTCACTTACACTTGACTTATTAATTCCAGTTTCTTTTATTAGTCTGTAGAGCTGTCTTGTGTTCCCTATAGTCGCCGCCTTTTACATCTCTTTTGCTTTCGTTGCCCACCACTTCTCACGGTCGTTCCTTAGACTTTTGCTTAACCTAGATCTGATTTGTTGTCGCTCTTCCTAATGTTCGGAACCTGATGGGACGAGTTTGCGAGAATCCATCAGTGTGATAGACTTTGAAGAAATCCACTGGTTCTTTGTAACTCTGTGGTTTAAGTCACTAATAGATTTCATTGCTGTTTCCACAGCTGTTTGTATAGCTTTCCAAGCAACATCTGGGTCAGCCTCGTTTTCAGAACTACCTCATTGTGACCTCAGTTGTTCCTGGAACCTACTTTTGGTTTTCTCGCTACTCAATCCAGTTCTAATGAGTCTTTTTACTGTGGCTTTTTTGCGTCCAGTGAGGCGCAAGCAGATGCGTGCCCGTATTAGGGCATGGTCGGAGTCCAAGCAGGTACTCCAGAATGAGCGACAATCTTCTACCGACCCTCTCCAACGATGACTGATGGCAATATAGTCTATTTGAGTCCATCGTTGGTTTGGTGTAGGGGGTCACCATGTTAGACGATGTCTCTCCTTATGCTTAAAATTTGAGTTTGCTGAAAACAAACGATTGTCTGACCACAGTTGCAGCAGACGATCACCATTATCTGTTCGCTGTGCCGGAATGCTAAAATACCCACCTAAATGCCTTTCTGTTTGGTTTAAGCTACCTATCTGGGCATTAAAGTCACCTGCTACAAGTACTATGTCTGGACGTTTAGCTTTCTGAAGAAGTTCAGATAGCTTTCTGTAAAATTCATCTTTCACTTCATCTGAGCTGCAGTCAGTGGGAGCGTAGGCAGAAACGACAAAAAGGCAACGACGTGTGTCCCTATCCTTCCGAGTTCTTACGGAGCCGTTTAGCCGAACAGCACATAAACGACTGTTCACGGGGATCCACTCTAGCAGTGCTTGTTCCGCCCTCATGTTTAGTGCTATCCCTACTCCTGCCAGTCCACGAGAGCTGGCCGTCGGGTCGCCAGATACATGGAGGGTGTGTCTCGTCGGCTCTCCGTTTTGCCGAGGTGAGGTCAAGTAAATGACCACACTGGGATCCTGTATGCGTGTTTCGGAGACACAGCATACATCAGTGGAAAGAGACTCTAGGGTTTTAGCCAAGGAGGCCTGCTGACCGATTTGACATAGAGTGCGTACGTTGAAAGCTCCAATGTGTAGTTTGAAGCGAGGTTTCAGTAGACTGGGACAGTGTTTTGAGCACTAGAATCGTTGGCTATGGTGACACTTGAGGAGGAAGCCGAAAGAGGAAATTTAGAGTTGAAAGTCGATGTAGGAGGAATAATAGGAGTTGAAGAGGAAGGTTGATTATGAATACAGTGGTCTTGGGTGCTGTTAGAGGTATGAGGGCGGTTATCACTTCCCGGTTGCCCACACCGTGGAAGGGTTGTTCTGGAGGTACCTGAAAAGAAAATTGGATTAGAGGTGGTCTCAGTGACCTGAGAGCGTGACCGCATTGCCCAAGGGACAACTGCTTGAGGCCGGTCGCGCACGGCCTTTTCGTGGGAGGTTTTTGACGTGTTAGCTCCGTTCTTCAAAGGGCCTTACCGCCGGAGACAGAAATCCGTGAGGTAAGGTGAGGTGCGCATTTTTAGGGTCGACCTTTTCTAACCCCACCCCTCCTTGTGGGAAGGCAGCATCGCTGTCATGCTGGTTGTTTGAAGGAAACACCTTACTGCCCTCACACCTCTGTACAGGCAGCAGTACGACTTCGCCTTCGAACCTTGGGTTTGTTGCTTTGTCTTACCGCTCTTCAACCGACCTGTCTGACATGGTAGGACCTTGAGGAACGGTTGTTCCAGCCAGTATAGCTCGGTTGCTTCATCACGATAGGCAAGCCCGACCACCACGTCAAGGTAGCAACAACGGTCGGGACAATTGGCGGTAACATGAAAAGGATGCTTATCAACTTTTGATTGAGTTATTGAGCATGTTGTTTTATACAGAATTTGAAGTTTGGCCGCCGGATAAGTTCTGGCTAGCGCAGTATTCAGTCTCCTGTTGATTGTGTTTGCAGCCTCGTCACCTTTGAAGTTAAGACTTATAGTTATTGGTTTTTTATTGACAGTAATTACTTCAGTATTGTTTTCTTTACGCTTCTTATACTTGTCAATAAACTTTTGTGGGTAAAAGTTGTCTCGCAGGCATTTTTCCACTTTCATCAATTCTTCTTCGAGTTTGTCAGTGGTACATATCTTTTCTGCCCTATAAAATAGTGTTTTAACTAATGCCTTCTTGTAACTGAGTGGACAAAAGCTATTGAAATTCAGGTAAATGCCATTCCAAGTACTTTTTCGATAAATCGAACGTTGGACTGTCCCGTCTCTCCTACGTTTTATAGCAACATGAAGAAAGTGGAACATGTCATTCTGTTCGTGTTCCATAGTAAATTGTATGTTAGGATGAGCGGTATTGAAGTGTTTTAGCATGTGGATTGCATGCTGTTTATTGTTACAGACAATAAACGTGTCATCAACATATCTGGAATATTCCGTCGTTTCGCTAATCGTCTGTTTAAGCACCATGTTTTCAAGATACCCCATAAAAATATTTGCCAGAATTGGACCTAATGGGCTTCCCATTGCTACGCTTCTTGCATTTATTACACCATTGAGTTTTATCCCAACTATCTTATTTTATTTCATCAACTGAACTCTACTCATTTTATTCCTATCAAGGTATTTGTTTCTAACCGTTTGAACTGTTGTCACAATGTTCTTTCATCACATAAGGTATATATTTACAATATTCAGTCTATTAAATTTATTTACACCCTTGCTATACTATATGAATATGTCTTTAATATAACTTCCAATCAAACTCTTTTATGTAAGTAATTTAAATCCATTAATTATGATTTTAAATATCACAGGTTGTAAGCAGCTGACGAGAACCAACGAAATAAAAATGAATTCATGCTATTCTGCTAGAATGTTTGTTCTTGCTCTTTTCAAAATGATAAAGGGAACTATGTGTATGAAATAATAGAAAGATTGAAGCTCTATGAGGTAAACGTAATTTAAATTTCTGTGGCAAATATTAATATTCAAACTACGTGGGTATTTTTTTACCCAATTATCACTGACACTTCATTTACTTTGCGAGTAATAAATTAGGTAAACAATAGTATGAGTACATTGTGCAATTTTCACTTGAGAAACAACTTCGGTAGACTAGATGATTATTATACTTAAATGCGACTACTGGGTGAAGATCACAGGAAACAGTAGATATTGCTTTATATGCTAAATTTGAGTGTCGAGTTTTTTATAGTCTACCAATCCTAAGATGAATGGGAAAGATATCTATACTATGACAACCGATTTTCTGAACCTTGCTACTTAGTCTCTAATCACAGACTCCAAATCATTATAAATTTTAGACATTTTCTCGTTAATATACGCCTAGTCTTGTATTTTCTCTAATCGCGCCTTGAAATTAGAAAAAAAACAATTATTTTTATACATACTCTGGATGATTAAGTCAGGTTTATGACATGAAAGTTCAAGTTGATGTAAGAAAATTTACCACTTAACATTTCAAAATAGATAACTCATAGCGAAACTGGATCATTAACTCAGTGTGTTTGAATTCATAGAATTATTAAAATATTTCATATGTTCAATTTCTTTTTCGGATATGTTGTAAATTGACAAAACACTAATATGGTTATTTTTCGTAACTCCAGAAAGAATGAGACTTTCTACTTGTCATAGTTGAACAAATACGAACATGGCCCAATGCAAGAGAAAAAATAAAGACCAAAGATAAAAACTTTATTATCCATCAAAAATAAATGCAAAACTATATATACACCAAATGATATCTGATTTACCTATCTAATCACTAGTCGTGTGTGAATACAATGAACTGAATAATACTTAACGTTACATAATTAACAACTTAATGTACATATACAATTTATAATATCAACTAAATAAACTACTTTGATGAGCAAATATAACTAAATTGGTGGTTTATTATTCGCTTCTTACTAACAGCATATGTTAAAGATGAATATATGAATGGCTTCTATTGCTTAAGTTAGGAAATATAGTAATGTAATCATACAATGAATCAACGCTTAATCGTTACTTGCAAAATGTAATAAAAGATTTAGGGAGATGAACTCAAAAGTTACTCTTTATTACATGAGAATTATGGAAAAGTATTAATGATAGATGGATATTTTACGCCTTATTTATACGGACATTTTTCACTATAATCGAATTCCTGACATGGAAGCTTTTTATGTACCTTAAGATCTCGATCGAATAGAACAATAAACAGAAATGTCAATGCTTAAGAACTAGTTGAATTTGTGTACAAAATGCCAAAAATCAGCAAATTTTTAAAATTTGAGTTTCGACAGTTCCTTTTCCAATGCTTCTTTTTCAAGTTGTGGAACGAAACGATTTTCATCTAAGGAAGTATCCATCTGTAATAAATTATAACTTATTAGCTTTAACAATCAAACGATACCTTTCCGATATGAATGTTAATCCCTGAAGATAAATTCTGGTAGATCAGATCTAATAATATTGGTAACTGAACAGCTCTCACACCCGATATCTGAAGAAACCACAAGAAAATTAAGCAGAAATAAGTAGTGATACTCTATATATTCTTCGAAATTCAGATATTTCGAAATCTGACCGGATATTTGTCGAATTAGTATGATACAGTCGATAGAGCTTCTTGCTGGGAGGCAGTGGAAAACTAATTTAAAATTAAGTGATTGAAAAGTAGTACAAACTTTTTAACTTCATAACCACAATTGATGAAAAACTTGTGAATGTATGAAGTGAACTTCTCTAGCTGCACGTAGTCATGTCCTCTTACATCAAACTGCACACTTTGATAAATATGAATAGGTGGTTTGACAGACTAATTCACCTAAATACATACTTCATCAGGAACTGTACTTACCAAATAAGGTGGATCAAAACTTTTTAATCTGATACCATAACTTCGATATCTATATGTGTGGAAGCTAAGTGATAATCAAGTCTTACCGATAGGCAATTTGCAATGGAATCCCTTTCGTGAGTATACACCTAAATGACTCCATGACTTTACTGTCCAATCTAGAGGGAAAGGAATAGTATGTACAAAACAGAAAAAAAACCCGTAGTATACTCTACAAATATACATAAAGAAACTTTGGTGTGACAAAAACAGGAAACCATACCTGAAGTAATTAAGTAAACACGTAAGCCGCTACGATGTTCAACATCACGGGGAGTAAAAATGGAGTATGGAAATGAAAAAAAGATGGTGATGCAATTTTTTTCGTAGAATTGAACAAGCTGCAGTGTATTATACTGTCTTCGGTTGGCGAACAAATCTCGCTTATGCTAAAAGTGACTTAAGCCAGTAAAGACCGATAAAAACCTTTGGATCCGTGCTAGGATTGTACCACACACTAATACAAAACAGTTTATGAGGCTACCAAGATAAGTGAATTGGTTGATTCGCTCAACTACTTTACTCCCTATCATTCGATGTTGACGTAGACCAGTTTTGAAACAAAATTATACATCCAGAGGGATGTATTTCATATATACTGAATTGATGGTCAAGGCGATCAAAAGACTACATTCTATCAGCATTTCCACTAAACAGAACTGTCACCTGCCCAATATAAGTCAGTAAGTTAATCAACTGACAAACGACCTATCCCTTAAAAGTGATTATCAAAGAGAAATTCATATTTCTAAATGCATCACAACGTTTGAGTTAATTATATGTAACCATCCACTTACGAGTTTCTGTACGCATGTTAAAAACATGGAAGAAACAGTACAGCATTCTAATACTCTCAGTTGCTTCTAACGCTGATGGACTAGCCGCAGACGAGAGTAAGTTAAGAATTTAGTATACATTTACTAACGAACGGATTTATCAGCACCAAAAATATATCCACTTGTCGTTTATGAACCAATGATCTGAAGATAGTCTATGCTAATTGGTGTGATGAAATAACTTTTCACTGCAGTTAAGACAAAACAAGATGATACCGTTTAAAAATAATAAATAAGTTAAAACAGCATCTGATAAATATTGTTGGGACATGCATCAAATTGTAAGAATACAATAACGTACGCTGTTCTTTGAAAATAGTTGAAATATGACATATTTATAGTAAGCTACGGCAATAACTTGAAAATTACTAACAGAAAGAATGGGTCGCATGAGTATTATTAGCTGTGATATATTAACCTTCAGATGATATGAGTTGAAAACCGACCCTTTAGTGAGAAACACAAATGTCTTAACCTTAAACAAAAGCCTAGTAGCAGCCGTACACGAACAGATTGGGAGAAATTGATGACAACAATTTCATTTAACAATAGCGACGATACAAACATTTCCTGTTTGTAATTATACCATCAGATCTTTTGGCGTTGCAAAGACATAGCATAAATGGACCGACACAGGACTACTTTGTAAGAAAAACTAACGATGTGAGGATTTCGTTGTTCAGAAAACCAACATGAGATAAAGGCACTACTAGACTCAAATGATAAGCAAAGATTTAAACCAGTGTGAATAATTGTCAGCCGTCGACAAGAACCATATTCGTTAGGCATAAACACAAAATTCATGATCTCAGTAGTTTGATTTATTTACACTCCTAGAAAATAAGCACAATAAAGTCTAGATAGCAAGCTTCATAAAAGACACCCCACATACATAGTCATTAAACTTAATACAATACAAATATATTGTAGCTACAATATATAATTTCAAATAACAATGAATTAGCAATTGCATTGGATATGCATAACAATCGATGCTTCAGCTTGTGCTCTACTGTTGTACAATAATACGCTTTTCTTTTTCAATAAAATTTTTGAAATATTTACCGCTTTTCCACTGCATTGCAGATATATTTTGGTCTGTTGTTGAAAATAAAGGCGAACATAGGAGACCTTTGGGGTTCTGTCGATGGATAGAAAATAGTAGGTAATGTGTGTATTTAAGCGAAAAGTAGACAATTAAGCGCATAAGTAGGCAATTCGGCGGATATTTAGGCGAAAATGCGACAATTCAGCGGATATTTAGGCGAAAATGCGACAATTCAGCGGATATTTAGGCGAAAATGCGACAATTCAGCGGATATTTAGGCGAAAATGCGACAATTCAGCGGATATTTAGGCGAAAATGCGACAATTCAGCGGAAATTTAGGCAAAAATGCGACAATTCAGCCGATATTCAGGCGAAAATGCGACAAATCAGCGGATATTTAGGCGAAAATGCGACAATTCAGTCGATATTTACGCGAAAATGCGATAATTCAGCAGCTATTTAGGCGAAAATGCGAGAACTCAGCGGATATTTAGGCGAAAATGCGGCAATTCGGCGGATATTTAGGCGATAAGTCGGTAATTTGTCGACAAAAGGGCGAAAAAGGGGAAAATCCGCATTATTTCCCCCGGACAGGCGAAAAAGGCGACATTCTGATGCGTTTCCCCCTTTATTTCCACTTTCGCTACCAAAGCATTTACCCCTTTATTTCCCCTTTTTGTGTTGCTTGGGATGTCAGCGTTGAACTAACTCCGCTCGCAACTTCAATTGCGATAACAAAGCAGAAACGTTCTCTGGACAGAGAAACATAGAGTAAGTTTGGAGATGAGCTAATATTGAAGTAAAATCTTCACTAAAAAATGAAATCCTTCTCTGGAGAGTAGCATTAGTTAGAAAGACACTTAACTTGACCGCTGATGGTCTATGAATTAGTGACTCATAAATTATATATATTTGGAAATGACAATAAATTTCTAGATTACAAAAACATTTAGTCCACTAATGACAAAATGGTCAACATAACATGGGCAACCAATAATGATTCGTAACACCACCTACAAACTCTGCGCAATATGGTTCAATCCCCATTTAAATCTTTTAAAATATCTATGAATATCTTGTCAAATATAATTATGAAAATATTATATCTCAAGTAGTTTATGATGGCTTGAATATCTTTAAAATACATGATTTTATAGGTATTCAATACTAAATGGCTCAAATTGTTCATACGGTCCTGGGTGGAACAGAAGCTTTCGCTTAACGGGCTTTCGTATCTAGCAACAGTGGATCAGAGATACCTTCAGGCAGGAATGTGATTTTTTTACCAACAAGAGAGGAAAAATAAAAAAAGGTGGCAAACCATAGTAAGATACTGCCCATAGTCCTTGAGAATATGTTAAATATTCTCTTAAATATCTCCTAAGTAGTTATATGAACTAGCTCAGCCGGCCGCGAATTCCAACATTTGACAACTCTCAAAGGGTAGAGGGTCCGTTTTGCTGAGTTGTGCCTCTAGTTTCTTGTTGTTATCCCTAATTTTTATGTTGGGACTAAGCTTAAGTAAGTGTTTGACGGGATGACCAGAAGTATTTAGTGTAGGGCAACTGGAATGTCACTGAGCCCTAGTCAATTCATTCGAGAGTTTGTGTCACTAAATATCAAACAAATCATCGATCCCTATCAAGGTCAAGGATAACCAACGCGCATCAGTTAATCGTGTGCCGTGGACTGGCCCATGCGGCGGTGGTCTTACTTTCGCTTGTATCTACCTTAACCAAAATATTTTTGTAACCACGTCCTCTGTGTTATACGGTCTTCGAAGCAGCCATAGTACTTCGATATGTCGAGGGGTTAACCCACACTAGATGCTGACCGCGGGGTGTGACTTCGGAGTTAGCTTTTTTGTCACACCAATCGCGTCCAACTCGAGTAGACCTCCAATCATCCGATAAAGATCATCTGCATTGGTGGACTACATTAGGATACTGTAAGCCATTAAAAGGCCACCTCTAAGACGCCTTTACTCCAATGGGTAAAGGTCTAGTGATTGGAGGTGCTCTTTATAAGGCTTGAATTTTAGTCCTCGAGCTGATTTCATGGCTCGCCGTTAGTATGTTCCACAGTGTCCTTATCTCTTGGAGTGGGGGAGTAAATGCTGGTTCCGTACTCTAAACGGGACTAATAAAACTGTTGAAGATTATGTGGAAAGTCCTTCTGTAGAACTGGCCAAAAATGCGCTTCAACGTTATCAGTGCAAAGTTTGCTCGTAAGGCACTTTTATCGCAGTTAGCGTAAGACTTCAAATCATAGGGCACCAACACAACTAGATATTTTTTCAACTTGAGATACCTTAAGAGGGGAGTTGCCTAAGTTGTGGTTGTAGTCTGTAGCATGCCTCAGAAGGACTTCTTTACACTTTGAAGTGTTAAAGTTAATTGTTCTGCCGTCTGATACTAAATCGTTTGAGCTTACTGACAAGACATATATGGTTGGTCCTATCGAAAACCTTTGAGAAGTCAAGGTAAAAAGCGCGCTAATTAAAAGGACAATGGAATTTTTCCTCGCTGAGTAAGTTATATTGTTTTGATCGTTTATTACGTATCAAGACTACTGTCTTCACTTTAATTGAATTTATTTCAGTTAAAGTATTCGATTAGAGTGACGTTTCTGTTTCTAAAGTGGTTTGTCGTCGGTACTTCTGAGTACTTGGTTTTCGATTGTATCTGTTAGTACTTTTGGTTCTATCAATCCACAGCTTTTCACATTTTTTTCGTAGATCATTTTTGTCTCTGAGTGTTATTGCGTCTAGTTTCTTTAAAGAAATAAACCCTTGTTTAATGACAGGACAGTGCAAAAAAGGTAATAGCCAACGTCCGGGTTTTCGTTATCCCGTTGAAAGTGGCATGCAGTGCGATGAGTGCAAAGTCTGGTACCACGAAGTTTGCACGAATTTAACGCCTGCGGCTTTTAAACGGTTCAGTAAAAACGGTATAGTATGGCTTTGTCAGCAGTGCTGTTCGGATGCAAACAGCTCTCTAACCGAGGCCATCTCGTTGGTAAATGCTGCGAAAAAGTGTTTCGGAAAGCGAGGTCAGCACGCATTGGACAGTACTCGCTCTGTCGACACACAAATCGGTGTAAAGCAAGCTCAGGTGAATTCTAAAACAGCTGACTCACACCGATCGAAGGAGAAAAAACAATCTTCATAGAGGTCTGTCTTAACTAAAAACTCAAGAAAAGAAGTTTCTTCTGTCCGCCGTCTTCTAAATGATATCCAACATAAAACGCCTAGAAGCCACAATCGCAAGGCTCGATCGGTTTCTAGCGGGAAAAATAACCTGACCTCGAAAGTCGTAGAAAATCGTCCAGCATCCCATAATATGTTTGACGCGACTGTGGTTGCTTCTCCAAGCAACGTCGACGAATGGGTGCAGGTTGTAAGGAAGAAATAACATAATGATATAAAAGGGAATCCTGCTCCCATAAAAGTAGTCGAGAAATCGAAGGCTGATCACAATGACAGATCAGTTATTTTTCATAGAATCATAGAGTGAAAGCTCCAAACCGAAAACTCATTTTGAGAATGACATTGTGCTGATAAAACAGCTACTTAATCAACTTATACTTCAAAATACCTCCGGAGTCACATTGGTATAGGTGTCTAGACTAGGTAGTCTAGCGAACTTGAAGCCAAATCAATACAGACTGCTTAAAGTAGTATTCAAATCTTCGAAAAAACACGACTTATATTTACAGAATGGACACAAATTAAAGGGTTCGGGAGTTTTTACTCGTAAGGACTTGCCGTTGGTAAACCGCGTAATTAGACGGAAAGCCGAAAAAGAACTACAGCTTAGGTTAGACGCTGGCGAAAAGGACCTGAAAATCTTAAATTTTCGGGTTGTAAGGCTTCAACAGAAAATGATGCCGAAGCCACTTAAAATGTCTTCGGATCTGCTACACTAATGCCCGAAGCTTACTCAATAAGCAATCGGAACTATGTGTACAGATTGACTCTACATAGCCAGACATAATCGCAGTAACCGAAACCTGGCTTACACAGTTTGTAGATAGTATGGAACTTGATTTCGGGGGTTTTACGTTAGTAAGGGCCGACAGAGCACAAAAGCGTAAAGGAGGCGGAGTAGCTCTATTCATTAAGAATGCTATCCCATTTGCCATTATCGATAGTGTATCCCATGAGAGTGGGACGTGTGAATTACTTAGTTGCCGCTTGAAATGCAAGGGACAAGAGCTGCTGATTGGCTTGGTCTATCGCAGTTCAAGCTATGAGGCAAATGAGATCCTGTTAAGCAGTCTCAATACTTGGTCTCAAAGTGGTCGTTGTCTAATCCTAGGGGACTTTAATGCACCTATGGTAGACTGGGAAGATTTGCGGAATGAATCGGCTGTTATACAAGATGAGAGATGTCGGAATTGTGGACAATCTACTGATATGGATAAAATACTTCCTAGTTGGGCGCCCACAAAGAGTACGGGCGAACTCAAAGTTATCGGGCTGGGAAACTGTGCTCAGGGGAGTGCGTCAGGGTGCAGTTTGGGGGACAATGCTATTCCTCTTGTATGTAAATGACCTTCCTCGTCTCCTATCATCATCGATCTTGCTATATGCTGACGATGTCAAGGTATAGAGAATGATACGACGTAAGGGTGATAGCTCAGAATTCCGAAATGACCTGAAGGAATTATCTGAATGGTCTCAAACCTGGTAGTTGTCGATAAATACTTCCAGTTGTGTTGTGATGCATATCAGTCATCAAGGTACAGATACATACACCATGAATAACACTGAGCTACCTGTCGTCCAGACACACAATGACTTAGGAGTTATCGTTAGCCAAGACCTAAAGACTACTGCACACTGCTGTGCAATAGCCGCCAAAGGTCAATACGTAGGGCTATCAGGCATGTCGACGCTAAAATTTTTTTGACTTCGTATGCAGTGTTTGTACGCCCTAAAATTGAGTACTGCATACTAGCGTTTATTTCCCGCTTAAAAAGACAGTGAACTTTTGGAAATGTTCGGTAAACAGCAACTAAGCTGATTCCCGCAATAGCGGAGCTTCCTTATGATGCTTGTCTGGCCAAGCTAA